AAATTTTGCACAACAGAACGTTAAGACAAACTCACTTTGGTAAAACTGCGGACAAAAGCTTCTGCAAGCATTAATTCTCTATTATGCTTCGCTTTGTAATCTGAACTGACAACCGTGGGTTTTCCTACCTCGAAGATAATGGACTGATTATTCTTTTTGAGGTAGAAGGCAAAGACGTAAGTGTACATGAGTGTGGCACGACACTGGCAGAGGACGTCAACTGCTTTCTTCAGGAACTGCACCTCGATCCATGACATGTTGTGCTGCTGCATCTCCTCCATTTTCTGCTTCACCTGAGCATAGAGCTTGTGCTCAAAGCGCAGGCTCTGCATGTGGTTCATATAGCGGTTGCAGTAGAACAGGTACCTCTGCAGGGCTGCTCTGGATCGCTGTGTTAATTCCCATTAAGGAAAAAGAAAACAAATAGTTAAAACAAAGTAATGGTTGCAAGAGAAGAAAACCCTTCACAGGGCTCTTCCTGACCCTGAGAACGAGCTTCCTTTCCAAAGGTGTTTCCTCTCCTCCCACGGTGGCCAGACTTCGATGGCGCCGCTTTGCACGGCACTGTTAACCCTGACGTCATGCGGAGACGAGAGGCCAGACCCGCAGCAGCTCGCCGTCACGCAGGGGACCTCCGAGCACAGCTGTGGCACCCTCACTCCCAACCCTCAAAGCCATTACATTCACATCGCTGAAGCCTGATCAGTTTTGAATTTCAGCCTCTCAATTCAAGTTACAGGACTTAAATGCTTCCAGTGTCACGACAAACAGCGAGAAGCAGATTTTTTTTTTCCTGCTTTCTAATTAAACAACTACTGTGCTTGTGTTAGGAGGGCAACCTTAGGCTGCCCAGGCCACACTGATTACAGAGCAGGGGAAAACACCATGCACTAAGCGGTACAAGAGAACCAAGATGACTCAATACACAGCCATTAATCTTTATTTTTGTCTCACGGACCGATCAGCTGGAAAAAATGACAACACAGGCACTTGTACATTGTGGCTGTACAAAGGTAGCACGTATCAGCCAAAGTCACCCCTATCTGCAGGAGGAGGGACTGCAGGAAATACTTTGGGTCTTGGCCATAACGGTACTTTGACAGAGATGCAACATGCAATCCCTCCCCATTAAAAAGGGGTTTGGATCTACCAATATTCACAAAACTCTTTAACGTAGCTGCAACTTCACCCACAATTTCTTCTATGTCAAGCCTCCAAGTATAATTACTAGAATGGCAGCAGTCTTTTATTTACATTCAAAAGGTCTGCTGTGTTTAAACACCTCAGAATTTGCGTTAAGAACTTCGCGGTAAAGAGCATTTTACAAAGGATGTGAGGATTGTTGTCTCAGACCCGTGGCATTATGATGACTTCATGTGAAGAGCTGCTATAAAGCAGGCAAGGCAGCATGACAGATAACAACTGAGTTAACCCAATTTAAAGAACATGTTAAAGTGGCTTTGAACATTTTGGGTTTTTTTTTTTCTGGCATGAAGCAAGAGTTCAAAGCTGTGGGGGAACTTAACTGTCTTTTGGATTTGTGCCCAAATCCAGGAAATTCTTCAGAGCTGATTTATAGTTTTTTACAGAAAGCACACACAGGGTTTGGTGACCTCCCTTATCACGAAAGGTTATGGACTCACCTCCTGTGCATCTCTTGCTGCCTTTGCATCATCCTCATTGTAGCGATTACAGTTGTACCTGTAACAGGGACACCGATTCCACAGATTTCAGTCCAAATTGATGCCACCTACATCACAGCTTCCTCGCCTTCCAGCAAGGCACGCTCCCCAACTCACCAGGCAGACCCATGGGGCTCCCAGGGGCCCAGACACACCCAGCAGAACTCCGCTTTGCAGTTCTGGTTCCGACAGACCATGTGGTTGCAGCCCCCATCCTTCTCGAT